TGATCTTCATTGGTGCCTTTGGTGCATGAGCGGGCCAGTTGTTCCAATTGTCGGTCTATGTGAGGCCAGTACACATAAATGTGAATGAGGCTCTTCATGCGGGGATTTCCATTGTGAAACTGTCTGAAGACCATGGCTTGCAGCTTGTGCAGAACAACGACACGATCGTTGAACAGTTTGTTAGGCGCGAGTGCGCTTTTTCCTGAATGATGGTTGTTTCATACTAGTACTGGATGTCGAAATCGTAGCCCTGTAGCATGGTTGCCCAACGCTGAAGGCGATTTGCCAAGTACATGAAAATGCCTTTTTTCGAGACAAAAATAGTAAGTAGATGGTAAGATGTGGAGTTGTGCATCGGATAGATCCCGCTTAACGATCCCGCTTAACATGTTCCATCATTCAGCTTATCCATAAGATCTTCAGCACGGGAAAAGGATACTGATGTGTGTCCAGGGCAGAATTAAGCCCATTAGAATAATCAGCACAGATTCGGACTTTACCTGTAGTCTTCTTGACAACCACGATCGGTGTGGCGCATGCCAAGTAATTGACTGGCTGAAGACCACCGCCGCGCTGAAGAAGATCAAGCTCTTGGATAACCACTGTTAGTGCAGGGTAAGGAACTAGTTTTTTGGTCTGAAGACAGGTTTCGCGTTTGGTTGAATTTGGAGAGTGACCTTTATCTTGTTGCAGTAGTCCAGACTGTCTTGAAAAACCGGAGCAAACTTCGCCTGAAGGGTCGACACCAGAGTTGTCGCCAGCTGATTCGATAGGGCGGGACTCAGCTAAATTCATTGCATGCTTTTGCAAATGTGGTTTAATGGCAAATCCAGCAGAAAACAGTTCCATAAATTAATGTTACTCAAACTTAGCAAGCAACACTATAAGATACAATGTTTGCATGTTCTACATACACTTCTATTATTTCCGACAAAATGCCCAAGACGTTGTATTCACCCTCTTGTGTTTTTGCTTTTTGGTTAACTACGGCCGCGTACCATTTGGAATCTCCAATAAAATGTATAATGAGGACTATTTCTCAATAAACACCTCCAAAAATTCGCTGTTGCCTCTAGGGTTCTGTATGCCTATTCCGCTTCGTCTATCTGTACAGTACTGTCACACTCACATTTGTTTTTTTTTGATAACACAACGTGCATGTTATCGTATAGAAAGTTCAATGGTACACGCATTAAATAGACTGCACTGAACTGAAACCCTCTAACTCGAGTACAAGGTGCTTCCAGCATGTCAGTTAGACAAAAGTGGGGACTGCAGTTCTGGCAGCAAACGCGGGAGCCATTTTCGTTGACAAAAGATATAGCATTCTCATAGGGCACCTGCAGCAAAACAGTTCAGTCCATTACGACAGCTGTCAATTTCGTTAAGCAGTAAACTTGGCTAAGCTTTCGACAGCGATTTCGTCTGAGCTGCGGAAAGGTTTATTGGTTATACGGGGATCGATAAGAATTATGGCTGTCGTCACTAAGCTGGTTCTTGTGAAACAAGAACAATCTTTGATCCATGGTTAAATATTGCTTCCCTACATATCATAAACTCTTTGTGAAAATGGATTTTAATTTTTTAATTTGACATTTGTTCCCTCTAAATATGCCACTGAAGTTCGTATTTTAACAGTTGTAGCCATTAAAATTAATCCACAGGTTGCCTACCATGTCTGGAATATGAACTTTCGTATTATCCGTTACGCGATTCAGCACATCCTATCTTTAATACTCGGTTCGTAATCAGCGAAGTATTTAGAGTTTTGATCCCATAGCGAACTTTTCAATTTCACTGATAACTGAAGTAATACCAATTTATGAACAAAAGTGCAGCAAAGGTTTCGAAGTAGTCAGGGTTTCGAGGCTTCTCGAATAATCAATTGGCCGTACCTCGATTACAGGGCTGAACTTTGTAACCTACAATGTCTGCGTATACCCTTTAAGTTCACTCCCGTCTTTTGGTTACGCTCCGTTCTGCGTGCTAAAACTACTCACGCAGCGACCAGAATGTCTGCTTCCTTCTTTTCTGGGGACAGACGTCATACGGAAACGTCAGAGTTTCTATGCGGCGTAGTTGAAGGTTAGTTCTGGCACAGGTAACCTTCCCTTATCCATCAATATGACACGTCCGATCTAATGAGATTATCTTCAACTGCCATTTTGCACTATATTCTTATCATTGGGAAAAAAATCTTCATGCATTCTAGCTTTTATTTTTCAGCGGTAACAAAAAAGCCAAATATGAAGTCATTATTGTGGGAATACGGCAGAATAAATTATGCTGAACGTTAACGTT